TATCCCTGTGAAGGGGGGATTACTGTTAGTATCCCTGTGTTACACAGGACTGCATGGATTCAGGAGCCACACAATCACAGGCTCACAGCACAGCATGTGGAAGGGCTTCTGAGTTGCACATCTCTGGAGTCTATTGTGGCAAAGCCAAGGGTGGCTGTTCTGCCTCCAGCACAAGGTGGCTGAAGGGATCAAAGACACCTGAATGCACTTTTAAATGCCTAGTGTCAGTACACGTTGCATTATATTCCATGACATCCTGATTCACAACCTGCCTCCCCCCATTTTACAACCTAAATCTCTTTCTTTTTTGAGAACTTCACAGATGCCACATCTATTGTATTAGCCATTTAACCTTTCTGTAAATTTTCAGGATTATCTTTCTCTAATCATCATCATCAAATGCAAATTTGTGTCTTTAATTCTTTTTGTTGTCTTCACTTGTTCTCTCTCCTTTTCCTTTCCTTATCTCTATTCGTTCATGCAAAATTGACCAAACAAAGATTTTATTTATGGCACTTGTCCATCATGTTCTCTTTGGCATTCAAAAAGGTTAGCCAGGTCTGGAGCTTGCCTTTAAGAAGCTTGCAAGCTTGCAGTTCACAATTAGAATGATGGAACTGAACTGAGCCTTTTTTTTTTTTTTTTTTTCCTAAACACATAGACATTCAGCCAAAAAAAAAAAAAAAAAAAAAAAAAAAAAAAAAAAAAAAAAAGCCTTAAATATATAGCCAAGCTCAAAAAGAAAAAAGAAAAAGAATATGGAATTCACAGCCAAAGTGGTTTAACTTGGAGCTAAAGCTACAGTTGGCCCACAAACTACTTGATGTGATAAATGCCTTTGGGTGAGTATTAGAAAACCAACTGGAACAGCAGACAAGAACTAGAACTCCAGCAGGACTGGGGCCTGAAATAGAGCCCCTGCACAGAGCCAAGGCTCTGTACAAATTTTCTGTCGACTAACAAGGAAGGAAAAACTCAACAAGCCAGCCAGCAGCCCAGGACATGGCAGGGAAGCTGAAAGAAATAAGAAACACAAGCCTGCACCACATCAAGTGTGGGGTCTAAATTTAAACTACACAAGTATCACAAAAAAACATTCAAACTGAGAAATTAGCATAAAAACTAGTCCAGAAGAAGTGAAAGGCCTATACCCTGACAGTTACAAATGCTAAAACTTCCTACAGATTCCCTTCCACAGACAGTGCCCTGGGATTCACCAAACAAATATATGCCAAAACAATACATGGTGGAGCTGCATATTAGCATTAAAAAAATTTTTTTTAAATCAGGGAAACTATAAAATAAATGTATTAAATGTATTTAGAATTAGAATAGGTAAAGATATAATTTAGAGAAAGGAGATATAATGACAATAAAGTATATTATGTAACATAAATGTTTGAAAAAGAACTAAATATAGCATTTCTAGGCACCTAGACATGAAAAATATTACCATTATAATCAAAACACTGTAGAAATTAAATAATTTAGACACAAAGAAAGAAAAAAGTATTTGTTAGGAACTAGATCTGAGAAAATCACTTAGAATGCCAGCACAATGATAAGATAATAGAAAGGGAAGTTACTGTGGAAGACAAAATGAGAAGGTCCAACACACTGCTAATAGGAGTTCAACAAGAAAAAAGAGCACAAATGGGATGGGAATCATACTTAAAGAAATGATGGTTAAGACCATTTCAGAATTGAAGAAATACCTGCATTTTCCAAATCAAATGCAGATATTGAATCCCAGGCAGAAGAAATAAGGATCAGTCTGCACCTCAGTATGTGAAACTGCAAACATCAAGTTAGCACAGGAAAATTTTTTAAGCTTCCAAAGAGAAAAATGCAGGTCACCTACAAAAAATGACGATTAGACTAAAATTTTCCAGAGGCAGTGCTAAAGGCCCAGCTGTAGTGGAATATCATCTTCACAGTACTGAGCTTCCTTACCTGTCAAGTTAGTAATCTGGAACTTTTAAACTATAATTCAAGAATGAAGGTGATATAAAGAAATTTTTCACACAATTTACTAGTAAGATTGAAAGATAAACATTCAACGACTGAAACAATCCCCCCCCCCCAAAAAAAAAATGATCTTCAAAATAGAAATCAAACCCAGAAGTAAGGAGAGAAATGCCGGAAACAGTGGTGGCTAAAGAAACACATTGGTAACTCTAAACAGACATGGGGTGTGGATGTGTAGGAGAGACAAAATTCATGGCCAATTTGAAAACAAGCTGGAATTTAAATACTGAAGAACAGTAACATGGGAGACGAGGGAGCAGTAGACCAAAGAAAAAGTACACTACATTTCTGTTGCTAATTGAAAGGCTGCTGATTAGCTTTAGATGTCTAAGTATACAAATTCATAACTCAGTTATTTAAAGAGTAAAAGTGTATACCTTCTAAACTCAATCTAGGAGCAAAGAGGGGGATTTTAAAAAACAACAAACTGTATCAATCCAATAAAAGGGAGAAAAGCAGAGAAGCAAAGGAGGGGATAACGTTAAAATGGTAGAAAAAAATCATATATCGGTAATCATAATTGATGAAAACAGGTTAAAATCCAAAGACTTTAAGGTGTTTTTTTGTTTGTTTGTTTGTTTTTTAACTGTAGTCTTTTGCTGTTTATAAGAGACTTACGTGAAATATAATTATATGGGAAGTTTAGAAATAAGGAACTTAAAAAGGTTTAGCAGGCAAATTCTAAAGGCAGAGCAAAAGACATGAAAAAAGGGAGAGAATAATGAAGGAATAACATGAATATCACTAAATTTTTTAAGGCAAAAAATATTTGGACTAAAGATGGTATTAGTGTCCTGGCTGGGTGGCTCAGTTGGTTAGAACATCATGTCCCATACACCAAAAGGTTGCAGATTTGATTCCCAGTCAGGCTACATACCAATTTTGTGGGTTCAGTCCCCTATCAAGGTGCAAAAGGCAGCTGATCAATGTTTCTCTCGAACATCAATGCTTCTCTCTCTCTCTCTCTCTCTCTCTCTCTCTCTCTCTCTCTCTCTCTCTCTCTCTTTCATTTATATATATATAAAATCTCCTTGGATAAGGATTAAAAATAAAGATGTTATTAGTAACAGCAAGAGGAAAAAAAACTTACAATAAAATGAGTAAAGATATTAAATCACCAAGAAAAAAACCACATGGTCAGAAAACATTTGAAAAATATTCATCCTACTGTTGATAATGGAAATGCAAATAGATTCAGCAGTGTGCTACCCTTTCACACCCCACCAGATTGGGGGGGGGGGGGAATTAAATTGGATAATGACAAGTATTGGTGGAAAGTGGGATAAAAGGACAGTCTCATCTCTTACTGGTTAGAAGGAAAGGATGTGCACAGAATTGCAGCTCACCATCTTCATTCTGTCCTAGAGGAGTACTCAGGGATGTTCCTTGAGCATCACTGGCAGTAGCAGTAAACACCAAGGGTCCATCCCTAATGGTATGGATTAGTGAATTGTGACATAGTCACACAAGTGAAGCTTGTAGCAGTGAAAATGAGGGAACTTAAGAGTTATCTGTGCTAAAATGGATAATCTCATAATTATAATATTGGATAAAATAAGTGGCAGGCATGCATATCTAGTTTCAAATTTACTAAATCAAAGTAGTCCTGTGTGCTGCTTACAGATGCGTACGTGTGCTGGGAAATAGACACATCTGAGGGGCAATGGTAATCGGCCCACGTGAGTGGTTCGCCTTGAATGAGGAAGATGAATGGGATCAGGGAGGAAGACACAGCAGACCTGAGCTCTGTCATGTTCCATTTGCAATGATGTGAATCAAATATAGTAAACATATTAGCCCTTATTTGCATTGTTAATTCTGGATGTAGATGCATAGCTCCTGCTATTATTGCCTGTGTGTGAGAGAGAGTGAGTGTATATATTTAAAATATTCCCTTCTTTGGAAATAACTTCCAGCTTATAATTAGAGAGGAATGACATCATCATCATATGCAGAGCAGAATATTCTGTTTTGCACTGTGATTTCTTTACAAATGGCTTTCAGAGTTGAGATGAGAGAGATTTCTGCCAGTTGAATCCAAGAGTGCTTCCTGGAAGAGGCATCACAGTGTTGCTTTCCCACAGATGCCCTGCTGTCAGTTATTCATAGATTTCTATCAACCACCATGACCTTTTTTTTGTTCATTTCTTCAGCCTTTGTCGAGCCCTTTCACATTTTTCACTGTTTCTCTTTTTCACTAATTACATTCTGCTCAATATAAAGTAGTAGTTACCCAGGGTCTCCCCAATTTACTATGAGCCAATACATCGAAAAACCTGTAAGTGATGCCATTCTTCTCACAGAAAGAGAAAATAATGCCTTCTGTCGTGACATAATGTGAGTTTTTATGACAACATTGGATTTAGTGGAGGAAGTGGATTGGTTGGTTGTTCGAATGAATGGAAACATCTGGCAAACTCCCACATCACTTTCTCCCTTTACCAGAAAAATTCTAGTCAAAGTTCTCACCTTTTCAAATTGTGTCTAATTTCCCTTTTTAAAGGTGCTTCATCAGTTAACAAACTTATGTCAAGACCTCTGTGTGTGGCAGGTGAAAGGGGGTCGGGGTGTCCAGGTGGAAACTGAATTTGGTCATCACTATCCTGTGTTCATAGCACCCAGCACAGTCCTTCCGAACAGCGAGTGCTTGGTCTCTGCTAACACGGACCAGAAACCACATCACAGTGGCTTCTCTGCTGTCCGGATGCCCTCACTACAGCAGCGCGCACCACACAATGGAGGCATGGCACGCTGAGAGATGGCAGCAGGGCTCCAGACATGTGCTCCCATGCGGTGTGGGTGTAGAAGCCATTCCCCGTCACTGGGCAAGGCATCCAGTTTGTCTTTAAAATGCACATCTGCTCCGTGATGACACCTAACTTAACCCTCTCGTTAGGCTGCCTGGAGCTGCCAGACTGGGTTTGACAAGGAACCTTGTTTTTTCAGACCCTTTTTTCGTTTTTCCTCGGCAGAGAGAAGATGCACCAGTCTGCCATGTATGAGCTGTGCCAGGGCATGCACCAAGTCAGCCTGCAGTTCGTCCGACTGCAGCTCACCTTTGAAGAGTACACCATCATGAAAGTGCTGCTCCTGTTAAGCACAGGTAAGCAATGCCCATCCCAGGCACTTTTCTCCCGGGTCAGGCCATTTCCCCCTGGAGGGTATCCGGTAGTTGGTACAAAAAGGAACATTTTGAGGAGCTGGGGGGAGGCTTTGATGAGCTAGGTTACTTGCAGAGGATAAAGCTGGGGGCATATGGAAGAGCACGTGCCTTCAGTCCTCATTCACCCGGCCTCTACCTGCTCACTAGGTATCTGTGATGTGTGTGGTAGGATTGGGCAGGTCAGGGATGATTGGGTAACTGAGCAGGGTCTCTGCTCTTGGTGAGTTTTACTGTAAGTTTAGACATCATTGCAATACATGTGGAAGGGACTGCCTACTATGATGGAGAGTGTCATGGCGGCTCAGGGAGGGGCAGGGCATGGTCAGCTCGGGGGGTCAAGGAGGGCTGCAAGGGGAGTGGATCTTGAGGAGCTTTGGAAGGGCTCCTGGGCTGGATATGAGGAATGGAATGGCATTCCCAGCAAGAAACTGGGAGAGGGGGTGTGGCAATGTGGCAGAGCACACCAGGCAATAGCAGTTACTTCTGGGGAGTTGTTGCCTTTAATTTTTAAATTTTATTGTATTTAAGTATTTAATTTTCCAAGGTGCATCTGGTTATATTGGACTGGGGAGGAGCGGGGAGTGGGGCTGGGATGTGGACTGGACCGGATATTCAGTGCCTGTGGAAGACACCTGGCCTCTGCTGGGTGGGCAGAGAGGACAACCCTGAAGACTCTGAGCAGTGGGGTGATGTGAGAAAAGCTGAATTTGTTGCTTTAGGAAGAGGTGTGGGTGGTAGACTGGATTTGATGGATTTGACAGGAAATGGGGGAGGAGAGGCAAAGATAGGATCTATCCTGTCTGGAAGCACAGAGAACTGTGAGGCTGATGAAATAATGGACTGGTGCATGGTGGTTGGTTGATGATGAACGGGAAGAGAAAGAGGAAGAGGAAATGAACTTGGTCTGGGTCAGAAGTGAGCACAGAGGAATGACCAGGATGGCAGTGACAATACCATTAAGAGAAGTGTGTTAGCCGGGACCGCTTTGGCTCAGTGGATAGAGCGTTGGCTTGGGGACTGAAGGGTCCTGGGTTCGATTCCGGTCAAGGGCATGTACCTTGTTGCGGGCATATCCCCAGTGGGGGGGGTGCAAGAAGCAGCTGATCGATGACTCTCTCTCATCGATGTTTCTAACTCTCTATCTCTCTCCCTTCCTCTCTGTATAAAATCAATAAAATATTTTAAGAGAGAGAGAGAGAGAGAGAGAGAGAGAGAGAGAGAGAGAGAGAGAAGTGTGTTAACATTGGAGCAAGTTTTATAGAGTAAAAAATGAATTTTATCTTTAAATTCATTTTTAAACTTATCTTAATACAGAGACCAAAAGAAGGAGAAAATTTGGGCTTGGCACTCAGAAGACTGGTTTGGGTATTGAGATATAAACTTGAAATTATCTTTATAGAAAATTGTAGTCTGGACTCAACTGGTGAGTGGGTTGCCAGGCCACAGAAAGATGAGACCAGGTCCAGTTGGCCACGTGAAAGGGGGTGGCACAGGCGGAAGGGACAGAGACAAAGCTGTCAGAGGGGAGGTGTACAGCGTGGAAGCCAAGACTCAGTTTCCAACAGGGGCGAGAAGAGCCACCTGGCTTGAACAGAGATGCCTGCCAGCATTGATGATTAGGCATCAGGCAGGTGCCAGATGGCCAGCGACTTTTAGATGGATGGGAAGCTTCATTCAGCTTCTGGAACCAAGTAGGAGTTGATGGCATAAGATGCCAGAAGAGACAGGTCAGGATTAACCTTGGCAAAGACAGGGAGCACCTTTTCCTTGGACAAGAGCATAGGCATGTTCAAACAGGGGAAGGAATCTGAGGATGAGGGGCAGACTAAGAATGGCGGCAGGAGACCCACTGTCTGGAGAGGTAATCCCTCCACCACATGCCATGGCCACCGAGGTAATTCAAGACATGTTCTGGATGCCAGCGACGCCAGGGCGAGTGGCGTGGACCTCAGAGGAGTTGGAGTTGTTGAGTGACCGACCAGCTGTGGCTTCCCGCCCTTCCATGGCCAGTGAATCGGGCTGGGAAGGGCTGTTAGCAGCAGGGTCATTTGGAAGAAAGGGGCATCAGTAGCCAAGGTAAGGAGGACACAGTGGACTAGAAGAGTTGTATTTCCAGCCAAGAGCGACTGGGCCTGCGGAAGAGGGAGCCTCAGACAGGTCCAGCAGGAGCAGGGATGTAGTGGTGACCACGCGTAAGAATCCACACGTTCAGCACCTTGCAGTTTTCTGTTATCTAATGAGATTGATAGCCCAGTGCTGGAGTTGACAGAACAGGCACACAGTTATTTGTTCAGTGCCTTCTGTGAGTCAGGACTCACCCCGGACCATGGACTTCATGCCCCGAGCTGCCCCCACTGTCCCAGGAGCAGGGAGTGGGGGCTGCAGTTAGCTCGTGGCGTCTGACGGCCTCAGGGACAGGGGGCTGTGCGTGGGCCGAGTGGACTCCGCAGAGGAGGCCATGGCAGCCTGGCAGGGGCGTGCTGCACCTCACAGCTGTTTTGTTTGGCGGGGCAGGATTTTTAGGTTGCTTTTGGCCTTTTGTCTTACTTTCATAGAATGTGATCGCCAGAGCCTGGGCATGTTCTCTCCTTTGCCACAGGACCCACCATCCCTCACTGTTTACATTCAGACCCTCATCTGCCAGCCAGGCAGTATCCAGGCTCTTTGTCCATACTCCTGCACTCCCTGGAATGTAACCTTGGAAATTGATACTCAAATCAGTGATCTCATTCCTCTTTCCAATCTTTGCCATCAACCATCCCTGGTTAGAAGCTTGTTTTAAATATGCACACATACAAGATAATAGAAAATTTAAATGAAATATTTTTCCTAAAAATTCATGTGATTCTAATTATTTATAAATTTTAACTACTCGATCTTAATTGGTATCTGACTCTTTTACATACAGGAGTGGGCAAAAGTAAGTTTTGAGTACACAAAAGTTTGTCCTTGTATTATTATTTATTAATTGGTATTTTTCCATTTGAACAACTGTAACCTATTGCCCATCCCTGCACATTGAATCAGCCAGCCTGTCATCAACTCTGATATGATTGTGAAGCTGTCCAGGTTGATGTATTAGCTTCCAAGGAGCTCAGTACTTTCATTTCTGATTTTTTTATAGATGCAAGAAAAGCAAATAGGACAACAATTTTATGAACCACAGGAACTGTGGGCTTTAGTTTGCCCATTTGCAGATCTGTGGAATGCCTACGCATCCTTCCTCTTAGGATTGTTGCACCCCATATGTCCAGCGAATCAGGAGACTGTTTAGCAACGACAGCAAGAGTTCTGTGCTCCTTCTGCTCGCAGAGGAGAGCAGGCGGACTTCCTTCCGCCCGTAGTCTCTGCTCTTCTGCAGCCCCGTAGATTCTGGACGATTTCCAGCAGCCATGATGCTTAATAAGTAAATTCACAAAATCTGGACAGACCTCCAAAACCTGAGGTTTTGCTCAAGTTCTCTTTATTTGTGGGTTTGTTTCAGCTTCTAAAATATCTATCCATAAAATTGGTATATTATATTTCAACCACTTCAATAATGTATAAGTAAAATTTGACACAGGTTGTTCGTATTTTGAGAACTTCTGATAACACAGCTATCAGAAATATGAAGGTCTTTGCTTAATCTTCTATTCTGTGCCAAATAGTATTAAAATATAGTTGTGAAATGTATTCACTTATTCTAATTTTAGGCAAAATTTTAATGTATTGGATGACACCCATAAATATTTCTAAATTGAAAAACAAAAGTTTACTCCATAAAATGTCATAGCTTCAAAAGTTAATACATGGATGAGAAGTATAGGCTGTTACGTGCAAACTTTCAGTTTCTTTTAGAAAGCTTTATGTGAACCTAAAAATTTTGGTTAAAACAGATATATGGCTTTAATATTAACATCCTGGTTATTACCATCCTTTTTTTTTTTTTTAAGTATTTTTATACTTTTAAAACAAGTTTTTAATTTTAAAGAAAAAAGTTTTGTAACGGATGGTTTTCATTCTTAATGTGAATGTCAAATATTTGAAACCACAACTAATACTGTGAAAGCCTCAGGAATTTGTGCAGTTGCTATTAGAGACTTATTTCCCCCCACAAAAATAGACAAATCAAAAGCCTTACCAATTCAACTCAAGGGGAAGAATTATTAATATGTGAAGTTAATTTTTCAAGATAATCTATATCTTTATAGAAAAGCACTGGCTTAATTGCAAACAGTGGCATTCCTGGCTTCCAAGGTTGCACATACTATTCAGAAACATACTTAGCCATTCTGAAGTGCTCATGACCCTGTCAATTATCATGTATACCAGTTATGATAAAGCAACAAATGTGCTGTGTAATTAAGAGCAGTTTCCAACTCAGAATGCTAATGTCAGCTAGTCACTACATAAAAGGTAGAAAATGAAGGATTCTACCTTACCAAAGATAAAGATGAACATGCCGTTTTCTGTTTGTAAGTTTTAGATTTTCCCTTGGCTGTAGACTGCCACTACACACACACACATCCCTCACCCCATCAGGTTATCTGGGAGGTCACATGACATTTCCTAATTGTCATGTGATCTGGAGCAAAGAGAATGGAAAGTGCTTCTTTGTATACACATTCTCCCATGGGTAGATGGCCAGTTTCCCCAAGTGTCTTTGATATTTGAACTTGAATATGAAAACATTGCTTTCTAATTCTAGCTCCAGTTTAGATTGTCTGTGGCTCTTCCAGTTGTTCTGGAAAATCAAAGTATGTTTTCCTTCCTCAGAGGTGTTGGCAAGTCAGGCTTCATAAAACACTTTGATGACAAGCCACAAGGCCATGAAGCATTGTGGTTAAGAGTCAGGCTTTGGAAACAGACCAAGCTAGGTTTATATCTCTTCTCTCCCATTTACTGTGTCCTTGGACACGTGTTTAAACCTCTGGTCCTTCGTTTCCTCATCTGTAAAATAAGAGTAATATAATGGTTGTCATAAGACTGATATCAAGAATAAGTAAGTTGATACGTGCAAAATGTTTAATAACATGATCCTGATAAATAGCAGTTATTATTCTTTTGTGTATGTATGTGTACAATAGTTACCAAGATAACTGCCATATTTACTAATAAATGCAATTAATTGAGATTCAGTATCAATCTAAAAGTGGGAACCTAACCATCTCAAAATATCCTAGGCCATTTAACTGCTGAGATGTGAAAGCTGTTTTCCATCCTGGGGTTTTACGTTTCTGTTCTCCTTAAACACAGTTCCAAAGGATGGCCTCAAAAGCCAAGCTGCATTTGAAGAAATGAGGACAAATTACATCAAAGAGCTGAGGAAGATGGTAACCAAGTGTCCCAACAATTCTGGGCAGAGTTGGCAAAGGTTCTATCAACTGACCAAGCTTCTGGACTCCATGCATGATGTGAGTATGGCACTGTGATGCTTCTTCAATGAAGGGTCAACCACCACACACTGTTCACCAAATGAAGTAGGAGAGTTGAGAAAGTTCTCAGGACTTGATAAGAGGAAGGTCTGTTATCTAGTGGGAGGCAGCAGGAGGTGAGAGATGACCAGGAAGGAATTTTCCTCCAGATCACGTTTGTAACAAACCTCCTTTCAAGCCCAGGGTGTGGCTTTCCCTGGGAGTAGGACTGGAGGAATGTGTGCCACCAGGGCAGAAACCCGGGTCCTGGGCCGGGGTCGGGTCAAGTTTCACATTTCTGCATGCAATTTAGAGAATGTTTGGTTAGTAGACTGTTTGCTTTCACATTGCATAGGACCATCTTCTACAACTGTTAATCTAATAACCCAGTCTTCTAAAAACATTATTAGTGGTCCAGGGCCAGCGTGGATCATCTCAACCTTTGCCAAATTTTGAATCCTATTATATATTCACTGTTCTTCATAGGAGTCACCTTTCTTGTCTTAATGTAAATATAGAAAGCAAATTCTGAGATTGTTTCTTCTAACTTAACCAGTTATATATGCAGCTGAGGTATTGGTTAGAGGTTTCTACAAAATATTGATTTGAATCACTTGCTTTATGTCATTTAAAATGTGCTTCTTGTTTCACTTTGTAAGCGTCTTCTCCAATTTTGGCTTAAAAAAAAAAAAGGTAAGTTGTATGCAGTCATGCTAATTTAGTTCTTCACGTTTATGAGATTTTCATACTTTTTTGGGGGTAAACTGTATCACCCAAGCACAACCCATGGATTTGCATAAGAAATTCATCTTCAGATATTTCTCTGTTGAGGAAAATGTTGCAGGCTTAATGACCAATATTAATATTTCTTTTGAACTAATGGCTCATCCTTTAGAAATCTGTTTATGCCAGTGGAACGTTATCTCTTTGCAGGTTCTTTGATAAAAGAATGTCACTTTGCAGTATTTTGCATGGAAGACCCATTGCCTATCAGATTGACCTTTGCCTTCTCTGAACTTTTTGTATGTGTGTGCAAGCCCTGAAATGGACATCACTCTCTTTTTCTTGGGTGAATCGCTAGTAGTGGAATGCCTGAGTCATATAGGCAACGTGTTCCCATTTTTTGGAGACTGCCAAACTCTTTCCCAGAGTCGTTGTACAATTAATTGTGCTTTCCTTTGACAAGTGAGTTCGTATTGCTCCACATCCTTGCTAACACTCGGTAAGATTAGTCTTCCTAGTTGTAGCTATCGCAATAACTGTGTGGTGGTGGTTTTAATTTGCATTTCCCTGGTAATGAATGATCTTATCATGTGCTTATTTACCGTCTTTATGTCTTTGGTATAGTGTCTGTTCAGCCCTTTGGCTCATGGGGGGGTGGGGGGGAGAGAATTGCTTGTTTTTAATAAGAATGTTGAGTTTTGAGAGTTCTTATCGATACATTCTAGGTAGAATTCCTTTGTAAGATATATGATTTGCAGTCTGTACTTCTCTTTAATTCTTTTAGCAATGTTATTGGGAGATAAGTTTTCCATCTGAATGAAGCCCAATTTATTATTTTTTTCTTTTATGAGCCATGTGTTGGTGTTGTATCTAAGGAATCCTAGTCTAAGCCAGCATCACAAAGCTTTGATCCTGGATTTTCTCCTCGAGATTGTTGTCCTCTACTGATATGCAGCTTGAAAAGCATTTTTTTTTCTGAGTTTTGGTTGTTTCTGGTGGCAGGTAAAGCCAGTCCTTCCTACTCCATTTGTCTGGAAAGAGAGTCTTCCTACTCCATTTGTCTGGGAATCATTTTAATTCTAAAGCCTTTATTTTAAATTATAAAAACTGTTTGCTCTTAGAAATATAATAGCCTAACAGGAGCATCTTGAAAGTTCTATTTATATTCCTATTCCAGACAGAACATTGAAAAATGCATTGTAAGCCTAGAGGGACCTTTCTAACATTCGTGCTTACCCAGGCCTGAGGCTGCCTCCGGCTTTTCATTTGAGGGAATCAGTGAGTCAGCATTTGTAGATTCTCTTCCAGGGAACAAAGAGCTGCAGGAACACCAGCTCTGTGTGCAGAGTGAGTCCTGCTCACCTTCTGGAAAGAATGTGTTTGTTCCTGGGAGTACCACAAATAGGAACCCTGTGGATGGAAATATAACTGCTGCTTTAGAAAGCAGCATACCAGGCCACCCTTCAGGGCACATGTCCATAGATCTCACGTACATGGTGCACACATATGTTGGCAGAACTCTGCCAGGGGGAGTGACAACAGCATTCTCCAAAAGAACAGGCTGGCAGTTGAGTATCTTAATTGATCAGCAACTTTAATGAATCATAAGCCCTCTGAGCATCTATTTCTTAACACCCCCCCCAAAAAAAAAGTTTTAAAGAAAGCAGCTGTGGTCAGGCTTCCAGGGGTGGATGTATTTTTGCATTGCAAGTGTTAACTGCTGCTAGTGGCCCTCCTTGTGGGTAGTAAGTTGGCATCACACTGTGGTTTTCATTTCCCTAATGATTTGTGGTGGTCAGTATCTTCTCATGTGTTTATTGAACACATGAGTTTATGTCATCTTGGGAGAATTGTCTACTCAAGTTCTGAGTCCATATTTTTGTTTTTATATATGTTCTGGATACTAACTCCTTATCTAATATATGACTTCAAACATTTTCTCCCATTTCATGACTTTTGTTTGTTTGGGTGTCAAAGTCCTCTCTTCTGAACTTATAAGTCAGTAGTTTATTTCTTTAAATTTTGCCAGTTATGGATTCCAGTTGTCTCTGATTGCAATTTATTTAGAGTGTAAAAAGTGTTTTTCTTATAACTTCTTTGACTTCATTATTAATGAATGTTTTGTACGCTGCACATCTACAGAACATGTGCCATTCATTGTTCAGTTTTTCAAATCTGTCAGAGAATAACTTTCTATGGGAATGCTGGGGAGGAACTAGGGCCTGGCCTTGTCTGGGGAGGTATAAAGGAATTGTGCATTCCATTTCCACCTGAATCTTTGGGATTTATGATGCCATAGGGTGAGCTTTGTGGGGGGGGGGGGGGGAGGGAAATAATTATCCCGTGGAAAGAAGTATTGAGGGTCCTGGAAGCTCGCTCATTGAGAATCATGTCTAAATCTAACCTGACACACAGGAATCTCTCTCTAATCTGAAAAATATCTAGGGAAGATTTTGGAAAACTATCTCATTGTCTAACACCTGTGTCCATAAATCCCTCCCTCTTATGCTGCCTAAATCCCTCTTCTTACAATACAAAATAACCATGTAATGCCTTGGGTTTACCTAGTGCCTTTCTTCCTAAGTCCCATCATTAAATCCTCCTAATATCTCCATGTGGTAAGGATGAGTAAATATTACTATTTACACTTCACCACCTCATCTTAATCTCTCTCTCTATAAAAGAGGAATAATAATAATATTTACTCCCTTTTTCCCCTTTCATGGAGAAAAGAATTAAGGCAGGGAGTGATTAAGTGCATTTTCCCTGGTTCCTAAGGGAGGCGGGAGCAGAAGGCAGGAATGGAGAGGACGCAGCACCTGTGAGAGGCATCTGTGCACAGCCAGCCCTGCACCTGGTTAGCTCCTGGGCTGCTGGTAGGTGAGGTGTCATTTTGGCATCCCACACACAGAAGGGTCTCACTCTTAGCTTCCTGTTCCACTGTCTCCATCTTGAGGTCCTTCATACACTTTGAACAAGGGGTTCCACAAAGTAAAGTGGAAGCAGCACCTGTGGTGGCCCGTGCAGATGTGTCCATGGAAGTTGCAGGGGTGGAAGGCAGAAGCCTCAGTGGAGCAGGGTGTCCAATAGAAGGAAACTGGAGACTGGTCCACACACTCGCAAGGAGCCTTAAACCTCAGGTCTAATTTAAAACAAAAATAGTGAAAAAATATCCTAAGGGACAGAGACATCGTTAAGCAACAGAAAAGAGGAACGTTATTATCAGTGCCATTTTGGACTAGGGCAGATCATATGAAATGACTGACATTGAAGATGCTAGTTGTTCAAGATCATGGTTAAAGGAACTAGAAAGTGGATATAGGTTCACACAGTCAAGTATTATTCTCAGATTCTGTATTTTTGAGTTTGCCCAGTAGTTAAAATTGTATCCTTCAGCCCTGCCAGTGATGCTCAAGAGTTAAAGCATGACCAATACACTCAAGGATCACAGGTTCAATTCCCAGTCAAGGGCATTGATCCCAGGCAACTGTGCATGCGGGAGGCAACCAATCCAATCTATGTGTGTTTCTCTCCCTCCCTCCTACTCTCTCTCAAAAGACAATGGAAAAATGTCTTCAGGTGAGGATTAACTAAAACATTTAAAATACTTACAACCCCCACCCCCCAAATCAATACTCTCAGCACTTTCACAGGCATAAGCAGAGTAATAAACTGAGTCACCTGAAGTGCATGTTCCCAATGAAGGTCAAACAAGGTGAAATTCTCCCTTCTTGTTTCAGCTCATAAATGAGTGTACTTTTCATGATCTGCTTGATAACACATTTCTTGCATTTTTGTTAGTGATTTTGCTATTTAAAGTTGTCCCAAATGTAGTGCTCATACACTGTCTTGTGTTCTTAAGGCAGGAGGCTGTGATGTGCTTCATGGAGAAAATAAGTGTTCAGTAAGCTTCATTCAGTATGAGGTATGGTGCTGTAGAATGTGAGTTCAATGTTAAGGAATGTACATTAAATAAGGAGTCTTTAAAGAGAAACACACATAAAATAAGGTTAAATAGAGATTTTATGAAAATGTCATAGGAACCTAACTCCGTATTTTTCCTAGGAGTGAAGGTTCAGTGTTTGGAATTCACTGTTCCTAATGACTTTGTGGACAATGAGAGTCAGCTGTAAATGAGTATGATCTGCAGGGACTATAGGACCAAAAGGAAATGGCTCCTGAGGGCAGTCAGAAATGGAAGGCGTAAGTGGTGGAGATTTTAGAGCCTGTAAGCTAGACCACCCCCTTACCTAGCTCAGCCCCGGTACAAGGTTTTT